GGGAATCGAACTCATGCGGAAGTGGCTTTAGCTTCTTAGTGCTGTGCTTTAACCCACTGCGCCACCAGGGAGGGCCCTGGTGAGAATGTTTTTGAGAGTTCTGTTAGCCCGCTCGACTTTACCCAAGGCCTGGGGAAAGTATGGACAATGGAAATGCCAAGGGAGGGGAAGGTTTGTTGACAAGGAGCGTATTATTTGAGTGGTAAATTCCGGACCGTTATCAGACTGAAAAGAGGAGGACAAGCCAAAACGGGGAATGATGTGAATAAGGATGACGTGAGCCACGGTGGAGGCTCTCTTGTTGGAGGTAGGAAATGCCTCAATCCATCCAGAAAAGGTGTCAACCATTACTAAGAGCTATTTGGTTTCACGTACCGGGGGCATGTTGGTAAAATCAATTTGCCAGTCCTCAGCTGGGGCGTGTCCCCGTGCTTGATGGGAAGGGTATGGCTTAGGTTTGAGGGGAGTGTTGGGGTTAGTGTGGTGGTAGACAGAACAGTTTTTGGAGATGTCCGATAATTGGGTTTTGCCTTTGGGTGACGGGGAAAGAAGACATCGAGGAAGTGGGTTAGGGATTGTGGGCTGGAGTGGAATAGATCGTGAATGAGAGTCAGAAAAGACCTGGAGTTAATGTCAGAATCGGTGTCAGTGTTGGAGTTAACATCGGTGGTTGTATCCGTGTCCTGACTGCTGTCCTCAGTGTTGGTTAGGATGGCAGTGGTTATGGGTGGTAAAGCCGAGAGGGCTGCCTGTTTGGCTGTCTGGTCAGCCATCTGGTTGCCCTTGGAAATGGGGGAGTCATCGTGTTGATGAGCCTTGCAGTGTACTATCCCCAGTCTGGAGGGCAGTCGTGTGGCTTCCAGAGGGTTGGTGATAAGGGGGGCGTTAGTAATGGCACACCCTCTGGTTGTTAGGAGGCCCCGTTCCCGCCATATGGCAGCGTGAGATAACAGGATGGGAAAGACATATTTGGAGTCCGTGTATAGAGTGAGCGCCAATCCTTCTGCCAGGGTACAGGCCCGTGTCACCGCTATAAGTTCGGCCTGTTGGTTGGTTGTGCCCCGTGGTAAGGGTCGGACCTCAATGACTTTTGTTGTGGAAACAATGGCATACCCCGCCAACGTGGCCTCCTCCTTTTTAGGCGTGGGCAGTATCCTTCACCCCTCACCCCTGCCCCCGGAATTTCCTAGTGCCACTCCAGTACAAAGTCCGTACCCATTTGTGAGGTCAGGGGACCCAGTGGCAAATCCTCACCTCCACCTGGGTAGCAAGGCAGGTAACTGGTTAGCCAAAGCCGGGAGCAGAGAGCGAGGATTCGTGGGTCCATCTCCGCATTGGGAGAACAGGGATGGATTTATTTATTTTTATTTTTTATGTTTATCAGAAAATTTCCATTCCCTCCAGTGGGATTGTGGTACTTTTATAGCCTGAGTGGAGGAGAAGGGCAAATATGTTACCCTTAGAAAAATTAGATTGCCCAAATGACAGGGATGCTGGAGAGATGTCCCCGAGCTCTGTGTGGGGGATAAGGGGTGGGCTGGGGAGGGGGCAGCCTGGAGGCGCAAAGTTATTCTAGTCATGGCGCCTCCGCAGCTGGTGAGCTTTTTATAAACGATTCCCCCTATCTCCGCCTCCTGGGGTGGAAGCTGGGGGATCAGGAATATCCTGTGACCACAATCTTATGCCGGGTCTGGGGACAGGAACTGCACGGGCTGGGACCCGGAATGGTGGTTTGGGTCTCGTCCCCTCTCCCTTCTGACCTCAAGATTTTGGGAAATTAACCACGGAGCATCTAAACCCCCAAAACCTCCGCCTCTAAGCATTGTTTTCCCAGGATGGCGGGAGGGGGTGTCTCACTCCATGTCTTTTAACTCCGGAACCTGGGAGGGATTAAAGCATCTCCTAACCACGCGACTTTATTTTTGGGTTTCTGAAACTCGCTCACGTCTCCCCTGTTTCCTGAGTCTTCCCCGGCAGGTTTTGTGGGTTTAGGAGACAGGCCTTTTCTCTGTCCTACTTCCGCCTTTTCTTCACAATGTTTCCCCTCTGGAGAGAGGGGTTCAGAGAGGGGAGAGGTCCTGGAAGCATCCATCAGCCCCTTTCTTCTTGTCTAGGACTCGATGGACCGGTAGGTGTCATCGAGTCTTTTTCATCTCAGAAACAGGGTGGAGCTTCTATCAGTCCGGTCCTCTTTGGAGGTCTTGCATCTCCGAAATCAGACGGAGTCTCTTTTGTACTTATTTTTTTTTTTTTGCACTCCATAAATAAGGGGCATAGAGCATTTCTTCAACCTTTGTTTTCCTTTTCTGAAACTGGGACTACGGAGCGCTTAGCGAGAGGTCACAACCCCCAGGACAGGGCTGTAGCCGCCTAGAGTCCCCGAAATGGGAGAGGATCGCTCCCTGAAGACCCAGGCTCACACAAGGGCTCCGCCCCTCGGCCCTTCAATCACTCGGGAGTCACCCTCGGACAGGAGAGAGTCGATGATCTCTTACTGGTTATGCTGCCCGTCGCTCGAGCCTTTAAGCCAGTGAGAAGACGCCATTAGCCCCGCCTTCCGATACAGACGAGAGGCGGAGTCAGCAGGTCATCCCGCCCCGCCTGCGCCGGCCCTACTTGCTATTGGTCGCCTACCCGGAGTCCCACCTTATTGGCGCGTCAATCTGCATCGGAACCCCGCCCCCCATCGGCTCCGCGTGCGTCAGTGGGCCAGAACTCCTCGTGCGGCTACGCCCCAGTATGGCGTCACGGCCATATCTGCATGTGAGGCCCCGCCCCTCCCTTTGCAGGACGTCACCGCGGACTGCAGGGGCCTGGGCTACCGCTGCTGGGGCTGCTGCTGAGGCTGCTGCTGCTGCTGCTGACGCCGCGCAGCACCGCACCAGCGCACCTTGGGGTCCCGTCACCGCCGCCGCCGAAAAAGTCGCCGCCACCAGGGTCGCCACCGCTTCGGTGCAGGGTAAGGTGAGCTGCCAAGCGGCCGGGTGCGCTCTCGCTCCGAGCATCTACTTCACCTTCATTTGACTGGTGGGCTGGCGTGGGTGGGGGACGAGGTTGGCGGGTTTTACCTGGGAAGAAGGATGTGGAGGTCGCGGGCCTGTGGAAGGATAGGACCTCGGTTTCTCCTACCTGTCCGATCCTCATCCCGAATCCTCACCCCCCACCCCCACCCCCACCCCCCCGCCCTGCTCTGCGGAGGAGGGGGAGGGGAGGCGAGTGCCTTGCGGGAAGCTGTGTGCGCGAGGCTCTGTGCGTGCGCGTGCGCGTGGTGTGCACACGCGTGTACGCGCTCGCCTGTGCTGGCGGATCGGTGTGTACCTTGGCGTGTTCTAGGGTTTGCTCGTATGATCCCATGCGAGTCCGAACCCAAGTGTATGCGTGCTGCATGCATATGGAGCCACGGAAGCCACAGAGTCCCCAATCTGGGGTGGGCGGGTAAGGGGGACTGTGTGTGTGTTTGCTCGGTCATGTGAATACGTCCACAGGGATGAGTGACCATGTGAGTGGTGCGTACACACCTGCAGGGGTGGAGGACGTGTGCATGGGTGGGTTTGCACATTTATATATGCAAGGCGGTGTGCAGACAGGTACTGGCTTCATATCCAGTGCATCGAATATGTTCTCAGCTTCATGTGTGCATGAGCATGGACCTGCGTGTGCCTTGCTGTGTGCACGTGAGCATTTGCACGCCCCGCCCCCATCACGTGACATGACTGCTTTGGTCCTGTTCTCCCCATCTGGAGGAAGGGGGGGGGGTGCTGCGGCTGTGCCTTCAGGCAGGTGCACGTGCACCGCTCTGTTCTGAAGAACATGAATGATTGATGGGGGGCGGGGCCGCTGAAGTCTTACCCTCCCAATGCAGCCCCGGGTTTAAGGTTACTGCCCTGCCTGGCAAGCCTGCTTTGGGGGCTGCAGGAATGTCCCCATCCCCATTCGTCTGGTGTTCCTCTCCTGAAACCTCAGGCCCTTCAAGGTCATTGCTCACTCTCTGGGTAGCCTTGCCATTCTCATTTGGGTTCCTGGTGGGGTAAGGGTAATCCCACACTAGTCTACTCTGGACTTTTCCCCTTCCTGCAATTGAGGCTTGGGCATTTGGGATGAAGCCCCTCATGCTCTTCTACACCCAAACCCCCAGATGGCGTCAGCCACAGACTCACGCTATGGGCAAAAGGAGTCCTCGGATCAGAACTTCGACTACATGTTCAAGATTCTCATCATTGGCAACAGCAGTGTAGGCAAGACATCCTTCCTCTTCCGCTATGCAGATGACTCTTTCACGCCTGCCTTTGTCAGCACGGTGGGCATAGACTTCAAGGTCAAGACCATCTACCGCAATGACAAGAGGATCAAGCTGCAGATCTGGGTGGGTCCCTGCGGAAATCTCCTGGCTCTCACTCTCCTCCTTCCTGTCTGGACCCATTCATTCACACAGTGGGCATTTTTCAGGCACCTTCTAGGGACTAGAGGCACAGAAGTGAGCATACCCCAGTGGGAACTTAGTAAGAGCTCCCCAGAGTGAGGAAGGAGCCTGTGCCAGCTCCTCTCCTGCCCCACTATTGTGAGAGCATCACCTGGCTTGGTGCATTTCCCCACGTTCAACTCTTCCATGGACTTGTATGAGACTTCAACTGGACTCTGACCCCCAGCTTCATGCCCTGGGACCAGAGCAGGTGCTTGCTTCCTCCAGAGTTTCTTGGCCACCTCCCTCAACCCCACTGACGACTGAAGGAACCTGTGAAGTCCCAAGTCAGATCCCTCCCTTCTCTCACAGCCCTCCATGGCTCCTGCCCCACTCAGGGTAAAACCCACACCCTGCCACGGGCCTGGTTTGGCCCAGGCTATAGCTTCACTTTTCCTCAAATGCGCCAGGCACAGGCCCCCTTGAGGGCCTTTCCCCAAGCTGTGTTCAGCTTCACTCTGAGTTTACACGTGGGTCCTCTCTGACTCTGTCTTCTCTTTTCAGGACACAGCAGGGCAAGAGCGGTACCGGACCATCACTACAGCCTACTATCGGGGTGCCATGGGCTTTATCCTCATGTATGACATCACCAATGAGGAGTCCTTCAACGCTGTGCAGGACTGGTAAGCATGCCCTGTTGCTTCCCAGACTACCTCCTGAGCTGGGCTTGAAGCAAAGCCTGAGGCATGGTGAAGCTGAGAGAGCCCCAGACCCTTGGTGGAAATATAATAATACTAGGGTCCGAGAACTGCTGTGAATCTATAATCATTAAAACAGTGTAGTATTAGAGCCTCCCTGGTGGCGTAGGAGTTAAGTCTCAATGCTATCACCACTGGGGCCTGTCAATCCCTGGCTAGGGAGCTAACTCAAATGACACAGCAGTCTCGCCTGCTGCTCTCCTCAGCAGTGTGTTTCAGTAGACCTGTCTGTTCCGCTCCCTATGCTGTCTCTAGCGAATCCTCTCACCTCTCACACCTCTTGTCTATGCCCCAAATCGTGTGTGTATAAATAAATAAAAATAAATCTTAAGGAAAAAAAAAAAACCCTGTGGGAGAAAATAATAATAATGAACAGCTATATACAAGAGACATTTTACGTGGGTGGAGTGGGGAATGGGATCAAAAATGAGGGAGGGGAGAAATGCACTGGACTATGGTGATAGCACACTGGTGAATTGGTGATGGGAAACCGCGGGGATTACAGTTGAGATGGAAAAAGGCACAAAACGATGTAAAAATAAACTATTATATTATTTAAAAAAAAAAAACAACCCTGTGAACATATAGGAAAAAATACACCTGAGGGAGCCAGAAAAATGAAAGCCTAGTTTGCAAAAGCTAGATATTCACCCCAAAATGATACATTTTAGATAGCTCACCCAAAATGATACATTTTAAGATACACTGAAAGAGGTCAGGGAATGGATGGACAATTGGTAGAAGGGAGACTAAGGGGCCCTCCCTAGTGGCGAGGCAGGTTAGAGTGGAGCCCTATGAAGCTATCTGTGCAGCCACTGCAACAGGAGTCCCATAACCTACTGGGGGGTGACTGACATGGCGCCGCGGACCTCTCCTGACCCGCCCACTGCTCCCCTCAGCAGTGTATTTCAGTAGATCTGCCTGTTTGTTTTTTCCTTCCTTAAAATTTATTTATTTATACATACAACATTGGGTTCATGCCAGAGGTATGGGGGTTTGGGGTGATGGTGAGAGGATTCACCAGAGACAGAGTGGGGAACAGAAGAGGTGGACTAACTGAAATACACTGCTGAGGGGAGCAGCGGGAGGGTCAGGAGAGGTCTGCTGTGCCATGTGGGTCACCCCCCTGGCTGGGGATTGAACTTGCGCTGCAGTGGCTGCGATAGCTTCATAGTGCTGCGCTTTAACCTGTTGTGCCACCAGGGAGAGCTCAGATCTGCCTCTTCTGCTCCCTACCCTGTCTCTGGTGAATCCTCTTACTCACCCACCCTGCACCTCTGGCCTGTACCCCAGTTCTTGCATGCATAAATAAATAAATCTTTAAAAAAAATTAGAGGGAAGACTGAGCCGGTTACAATCAAGGGATGGGAAGGCGGGGTCTGACGCCGGGAGCCCTCCCATCCCTAACCAACCTCCATCACCATCACTATCTCCCCCAGGTCAACTCAGATCAAGACCTACTCGTGGGACAACGCCCAGGTGCTGCTGGTTGGGAACAAGTGTGACATGGAAGATGAGCGGGTGGTATCGTCAGAACGTGGCCGGCAGCTAGCTGACCACCTTGGTGAGTGCCCAATGGGACTTGATGCCTCCAGCCTAGGAAGGGGAGGCCCTGGCAGGGGAGGGGACATGCCTGAGGTCTCATAGCAAAGCCAGGACAGTGTCTGGACTAGAATCTGGACATTTCATGCTTTGTGCTGAGTGGCCACCACTCATGGACTACTGGATATGGGTGCTGAGGGATGCATAGGGATGCACCATGCAGGAAGTGACTCATTCATTTTGACACCAGTGCTGGGCCCTTGAGAGGCCTCCAGCTTTGGGAGGTAGAGGCTCTGTGGCATAGAAGACTTTCTGGGGGGTAGTGGCATTGGGCCTGCTGCTTGAAAGAAGGGTGGTCTTTGGGGCAGAGGAACTAGCGTAAGCAAAGGCCAGGTATGGGACATTCTGTTCTGCAAATAGTTTTTATAGCTGGAACATGAGGATCACTCAGGAAATGAAGCTGATGGTACAGGGCCAGAATCAGGTGCGGAGAGGCACAGTCTCTTCAGGAAGCAAAAGAGAGCCGCTGAGGGTGTGCAGTGGGAGGACCAGGGTGCTCATCCCTCTCCTCCCCATCACAGGGTTCGAGTTCTTTGAGGCCAGTGCCAAGGACAATATCAATGTCAAGCAGACTTTTGAGCGTCTGGTGGACGTCATCTGTGAGAAAATGTCCGAGTCATTGGACACAGCAGACCCTGCGGTGACTGGTGCCAAGCAGGGCCCACAGCTCACGGACCAGCAGGCACCCCCGCACCAGGACTGCGCCTGCTGAGAGCCGCCCTGCCCGGCCCCGCCCCGCCCCCAGGGCCGGCCCAGGCCCCCACTGCCCTGGCGCCAGACCCCTGCCCCGACTTACCCATCACCCTTATTTATTATCGTAGCTATTTATTTATTTATTGAAGATATCCCCAAGGGCTCAGGTGTCCCACCCTGTACATAAGCCCTGTCCCACTCTGCCGTGGCGTGTTGTGACCCTGTGAACTCTCCGCTCACCTCTTGACCCTCCCTTTTTTTTAATTTGCCCCCATCAACACTTAAGGGTTTTGAAGAGGGGGCCAGATGACACCCCAAGCAGGCTGATCCAGTGATGGGATGGGGCCAGGCCTGCGAGCCCCTTGGCTGGGACTCGGTGGGCCACAGTTACTGTAGGGGTCTCAGCATGGAGCACAGAGGGTCAGAACCAGGCAATGGCCCACCTGGCTCCTCATCCCCCAGGGTTCATCTGGTTTTGGAGTTCGGGGGGTGTCACTGTGGGTACTCACTACTCTGGGACCCCTACCCCTCACACACCAGACCTGTTCTGAAGTCATGAGTGTCACACCTGCCTCCCAGTTCCCCAGGAGATGTCATGACTACACTACACACACCCAATAAAGCGAATGGACGACAGTCTCCTGTGAGCACTAACTCTGGTCATGCACAGGATTTTCAGTTACAGAGAATTTAATGGCATTCCCATAGTCCGTGATTAGAGATGAGACTGCTGCCTGCTAGGCCCTGCCCACGCCTGCACACTGCGGCTAACTCCAGGCAGGCCCTCACCTTGGTCCCAGGGCCTGAGGGGAACAGAGCCCATGGCGGTATAGGCGGGGTGGAGCTGGCCGGGGTGCAGTGCTGAGGAGGGGTTACCTCAGGCACTGGTCACTGAAGGCCCCGTGAGAAGGGCTGTCCATCTTTATGGCTGTGTTTTAAGTGGAGAAAGTAACCCAGTAATAGGTTTGGAAGGGACAGCCCAGCCAGATGCCTCACTTGGGCTGGGGTCGGGACCTGTCGTAGACACCTGGGAGCTTGTCCCCTCCCACCCAGGTGGGGGGGGGTCAGTCTTGTCCTGTCTGGCATCCAGCTGGAGTGTGAGGCAGCTCAGTCTGCACGGTGCCCAGGGCCACGCGACCTGGGGGCATCATTGGTTCAGGGATCTGTGTGCACAAGAAGTTCTGGTCAAATGCCCGCACACCCCTCCGGCTTCACACGTAGCTGAGCTCTCCACTTGTCACGAGGTCAGCCTGGCTGGACAGATCAGCAGTAGGCAATGGTGGTGGGCTGGGTCTTTATCCTGATGATCGGCAACTTGCCTGCCCATCCTGCCCACCGTAGGATGCAGTTTGTCATGGGCACAACAGGCCTTCCTCCAGAAGAGTGCTGCACCGTCACCTGGGCTTCACAAAGGGGGTTCCCGAGGAGTCCCCTGGGTGCCTGGTATGCCCCCTGCGCTCACCCGGTACTTAAGGTAGGAGAGGTACGTGTCCCAGCCCAACGTCAGCCCGTTGATGTAGGTGACTCGGAACTGGGGGGGCACAAAGAGGAAGTTCACCAGCTGTGCAGTTGGCCAGACGCACCAGTCCACCTGTGAGGAGGGGTGGCATGGTGAGGGTGGGCCCAAGAGGGGCCTGAGTATGGGAGGCGAGGCCTTAAGGGGAAGGGCTGAAAGACCGGTGGGGGCCTTGAGGGGCAGGCTTGGTGGCGGGCAGGATGGGGTCTTGGAGAACATGCCCACCTTGTAGAATTCCCAGAACTTGTCCCGCAACTCCTGGCAGCTCTCATCCAGCGTCTGGCCCTCCAGGCAGCCAATGCCTGGCAAGGAAATCAAGAAATGAGCGTCAGAGGCTGGAGAGTCCCAGATGTAGTGAGCAGGGGGAGGTGTGACCCCTGGAGGGTAGAGACTAGGGGGTTTAGTCTCCGCTTGGGAAGACAACACAGCAGCCAGGGGGGAACTACACAGAACAAGCAGGTTCCAGTGAGGAGATGTTATAGCATCCATGACAAGAGACAGACACACCCTTCCAGAGACTGAGGCTGTCTTACTGCTTTATTACAGTCACTCATAGATAAGGAGCTCGAGCCTGGAGGGAAGGGAATGCCATCTCCTCAGCCAGTGCCTTTTGCATTCCATCAGCCCTGGCCTCAGCAACTCTTCCTTCGGCCTTGCGGCCTTTGCACGGGCTGGTCCCTCTGCCCTGGCTTCTTCAAGTCTCAGCTGAGTGGCCCCTCCTTTAGAAAGCCCTCCTGACCATGACCTTCATCCCTCAGCCACAGAACATGTGCCTCTGTCATACACAACTGCCCCCACTGCCATCTGTCCTGTCTCCACTGTGACCTGCCCTCAGTCCAGGGCCACTCATACAGGAGATACATCAATCTCTTTCTTTAAAGAAAAAAAAATTATATATATATATATATATATATATATTTGATTTCAGTGTTCATTTTTTTTTCTCATTGTTCATTAAAAAAAATTATTTTATTTATGCATACAAGAACTGGGGGGTAGGCCAAAGGTGTGGGGGTGAGAGGATTCACCAGAGATAGAGTGGGGAGCAGAGCAGGCAGATCCACTGAAATCTGAAAGGAGCAGCAAGTCAGACGGGAGAGGTCTGCTGTGCCCTGTGGGTCAGTGACCTGGCTGGGGATCAGCCTGTGCTGCAGTGGCTGTGGAGAGCTTCCTTGTGCTGAGACTTAACCCCTTGTGTCACCAGGGAGGCCCACTGTTCATTTTTGCAACACTGTTGGCTTTCTTTTCTCAGGTGCAGTCCCCAAAGAATCCCCACCATTAATTCCCCCATGCACCATCACCATAGACCCTTGCGCTCTTCCCACCCTTGTTTTGATCCCTCTCCCTCCCTGTGCCCTGCAGAATGTCTGAATTATGTAGCATCTTTCTTAACATGAAGCTTGCTCTGACTCATAAGAGCTCCTTACCCAAGAAGTACCAGACGCCCATCATAGGAGAGGCTACCAGCTGGTCCACGAGGACCTTCTTGAGGATGTTTGGGAGGTCACGGAAGCCAGATGCAGGGAGCAGGCGGTCCAGCCATAGGTACCAGTAGTGCAGGAAGGGGCCCATGCTGCAGCCCACAGCAAACATGCTGGCTGAGGGCAGTCCAAGAGTCCAGGCCATGTCAGCAGGGCAAACTTCACCCCCTCCCTGGCTAAATCCTCCCTCTCAGAGCCCACACATATATATTTTCCTGCACAGCCCCACTGCTAGGCATGTTTCTGGGTCTCCTTACCTATCTTTTTCACTCATGCTCTCACCACCCTTCCAGGGTGATAACATCAACCCAGAGGTGGAAATGGAGGTTCAGTTGGTGGGCAAGTGTGCAGGCAGGGAGTGGCCTCAGGCTGGCCAGGTCCTGAGCTGCACCCTTGCTCTAACACAGAAACACCAGGTATGACAGAGGGAACCTCAAAGCGGGCCAGGGCCGAGGGGTGTGGCGATGGGGGTGGGGGGGCCATGGGAGGGAGCAGAACCCAGGATGACAGTGGTGGAGGCAGACGGAGAGGGAGGGTCTAAGGGTTCTACCCGGGACAGCGGAGAAGGATCAAGATTGACAGCTCACTGGTCTGGCTCAAGCACCCAGAGAGTCTGGGGTCAAAGGTCCCTCGGGGTCAAGGGCCAGCAGCGCCAGCCTCCCCACCTGAGCGCCACGGGTTAAACTTCTGGCCGGGTCGGGCGCGGATTTCCCAGGACTGGCGCGCGCCGTCCCCCGCTGCCATGAGAGTGCCGCAGCCCAGGGTGTTGGTGACCAGCAGAGCACGACCTTGGAACAGGGGCTGCCCAGCAGCCCACAGGCCGCGAAACCAGCGCCAGCCGCTAGACGCCATCGCCAGCGGGTGTCCAGGAACCGGTGCCCCGGGCCGCCCTGCCCATGCAGGCCAATCGCTAGCCACCGCCGGCAGGGACGCCCGCCTCGCGCTGCTCGGGCCAATCGCTGACCGCTCGGCTCTCCGCCCCGAGCGCCGATGGCCAATAAAACATCGGTATCTCCTCCCGTACCAATAGCTGAACGAACCCTCACACTACCACGCCACGCCTGCCCGAGCCGCCCTTTCACCCTCCTTTCCCCGCCTCTAGAGCCGGCCTATGGCGTCACTTAACTAGCCAGCACGGCGCTGCCCAGTCGCAGGAAAGCGCACGCCGTCGTCCCGCCTCCCACGTTGTGGCAGCTGGTCTCGGCCAGTTACCGCTGGGTGTGTGCCCTCCAAGTTTCCATAATTTTGCGCTCTGTGTGTGTGTGTGTGTGTGTGTGTGTGTTTTCCCGGTGTGTGTGTTCGCTCTAGATTTCCATATTTTCCGGAAGCCCTCAGCTGGGATCCGACCTGTGGCCAAGACAACTACCGAGGTGGAAATCATGTCCCTCGACGACTCCGGAAATGGGACGGTGGGGTGGGACTGGAGTCCTGCTGCGCGCGCAGTCTAGTGGGCACTTAAGCAGTTGACCTTGTTTCTAACTTTAGGCGAGCTGATCCCAGTTCTAGAATAATAATGGTAATTAAAACCTTGCACACCATTCTGGGTATGTTATTTGCGTTAGTTCATTTCACAACTTCGTGCTTCTGCAGAAATTCCTATCCTCCTATATTATTGGTGGGGGAAACCAGGTACAATGTACCTGCTGGAGCAGGTTGTAGCTAACGGTGGCCCCCGGGGCAAATCTTGCTCCTGTCTGTTTTTGGGACACCTGTGAGCTAAAAATGTTCCCTACCCCTTTAAATTTTTTTAAAAAAATATTTATTTATTTATGCATACAGAACTGGTGTACAGGCCAGAGGTACAGGGGCGGTGAGAGGATTCACCAGAGACACAGAACAGGCGGATAGACGAACTGCACTTGCTGAGGGGGCAGCGGCGGTTGGGGAGCACAGGAGAGGTCTGCCCCACCAAGTGGGTCACCTCACAAGGAAGCAACTGCGGCTAGCTAACTGTGCTGGATCTTCACCCGTTGCGCAACAGGAAGGGCCCCCCTACTCTTTTTTAAAGGTCACAGGAAAAATGGAAGTAATACTCTGTGATAAGTGAGAGTTACATGAAATTCAAATTTCTGTGTCCATAAATAAAGCTTCATGGGACCACAGCCAAGTCCATTTGTTTTCCTTGATATTTCTCATTACAATGAGTAGTTGCTACAAAGACTGGCCTGCAGAAACCAAACCATGTATTAGATGGCCCTTTGCAAAACATTGATTGCTTTGTATTAAAACAACTCTTATCTTGGTTTGGCCTCCACATATATTTTTGGTGCTTTACCACCATCACCACTCTTAGTTCAACCTAGTAAGCACTCAGGATGTTAGGAGACTGGGTGCACGCAGCTCTGGGTGTGTATAGTTGAAGAACAACAGCCGCCACACCAAACGTGAGAGCAAGCAAGTGTGAATTTACTGAAGCAAGAGGAAAGAACTCCGGACAGCATGAGGAGCCCAAGGAAGGGCGCCTGATGTACTCCACCCTGCCCATGACTGTAGATTGTCAGACTTCCTATAGCCCAATGTGTCAGCCTATTGATTAGGCACTAGGTGGTTGGGAAGCTTCGTGGTGGTTGATTTTCAGTTCCTTACTTATCCTGTAACTGGATATTTATATTTTTAAAAGATTTATTTCTTTATGCATATAAGAGCTAGTATGCAGACCAGAGGTGGGGTGTGTGTGTGTGATGGAGTGTGTGTGTGAGAGGATTCACCAGAGACAGAGTGGGGAGCAGAACAGGCAGATCCACTGAAATACACTGCTGAGGGGAGCAGCAGGTGAGACAAGAGAGGTCTGCTGCGCCATGTGGGTCAGATCACTAGCAGGGGACCCAACTTGTGCTGCAGTGGCTGTGGACAGCTTCATGGTGCTGTCTTCACCCCTTGCACCACCAGGAGGCCCCTATAACCACAGCTCACTTTAGCTGGTGGCTGGCTCAGCAGCATTTCAGTAAAATACTTCTATTTTCCTGGGAGCTGTTTTGTTCCTTCTGTTTAAAATCACTGTCCTGGGGGCCTCCCTGGTAGAGAAAGTGGGTAAGTCGCAGCTCTATCAAGCTATCTACAGCATGAGTTTGATCCCCATCCAGGAAGCTGATCCACAAGGAGCAGCAGACCTCTCCTGACCCCCACTGCTCCCCTCAGCAGTGTACTCCAGCAGATCCACCTGTTCTGCTCCCCACTGTCTCTGGTGAACCCTCTCACTCCCTACCCCAAACCCCACCCCGCTCCTCTGGCGTGCACCCCGGCTCTTGTATGCATAAATAAATAAATCTTTTAAAAAAAAAAAAAATCACTGTTCCGTGTCTCAGCCTTTCCTGTTCCCCAAGTTCTCAGTTCCTCTCACGGGTTTTCTGATTTGATCTTCTGGTGGCTATTTTGTAAACTCTGTAGTTCTGACAATAGCAAACACTGTGCCTATGAACATGCAAATTAATACTGTGAAGTGGAAAGACATTTCCTCCCATTTTTTTTCACTATAATCAGCAGAATCATTTTAATATTTTTGATATGTCTGCTTGGATTTCCTTTGAACTGATTTCAACATCTGACTAGTTTTACATCAGCCTAAGAGTCATGATTTTACCATTTTGGGAGAAATTATCCTTCAGCACTTTCTATTGTTATAAAGTACCTCAGCTTAGTATTCCAGGTCCTAGATATAACTGCATCTTAGTGAAAAACCTTCAAAATGGCTAAAAAAAAAAAAAAGGTGGGGTGGGGTGGGGGAGACAGTCATCTTATGATTCACAGACACTTGAGATAAACTTTGTCAACAGAAAGTACATTTCATGGTGACTAAAGCCCTGGAGACTCCAAAGGGATAAAAAATATTAACTATTTCTCTCATTTTTATTTTGCTTTCTATAGATGTGTATTTTATTTTTGATGCCTTCACAACAGCTAACGTCAACCACATTTGACATGGCATCAGAAACTGTGATGCAGATGGAATTCTCCCATCCCACCACACTGTCCACCTCCTGGACCTCTGCCTGTCATGCCCGGGCAGGGAGCACAGTAAAATTTCTTTTTCCTCCCTAGGTTCAACTTGCCAAGGGGAACATCCCTTCCCTCCCAGGAAAGCTGTTACTTTGTTGTTGGTCTCCTTTTGTGTTTTGAGAGTGATGGACGCTTAGAGAAGTTTATTTATTCTTTTTTTTTTAAGACTTAGGTATTTATGCATACAGAACTGGGGTACAGGCCAGAGGTGCAGGGGCGGTGAGAGGCTTCACCAGAGGCAGAGTGGGGAGCAGAACAAGCAGATCCACTGAAATACACTGCTGAGGGGAGCAGCAGGTCAGACGGGGAGGGCCAGCTCCTGATATTTTCATCAACAGTCAAAGCATAATTGTTGAAGACCGATCAGTTAAATGTGGATAAGAGCTTATAAATCAATGTTTTAACAATAATTGTACTTTAGGATATCTTTACTTCAAAATACAGTTGGCCATTGGACAAAATGGTTTTGAATGGAGATGATACATTTATATTGATTTTCTTGTAGAAGATGTAATAAACTTAAGGCACCAATAATACAATTGAGTACCGTAAGTATACTTTCTCTTATTACTATCTTCATATCATTTTCTTTTCTGTAGCTTACTTTTTATAAGGATACAGTATATAACATCTATAACGTTCAAAATATGGGTTCATTAATGTTTTGTGTACTGGTTAAGCCTCGATCAACAACAATAGTAGTTACATTTTGGGGAAGTCAAAGCTATACACAGACTTCCAACTCTATAGGGGTCATGCACCCAAATCCTGCATTGTTGAAGGGTGCAAAATTTTTTTGGTGATTTCAACCCTGAAAGTTAATATTAAGTTAAGTGAAATGATGAATATTTGTTGAAAATCCATATCATTTCTAAAGAAAAGAACTTACTAGTGTATTAATACTAGTCTATTAATTGCTAAATATATGTTTTTAACTTTTGATTTATTAATTTTGTTGATGAAATAAAGACATTTGGCTCTTGTGCCACATTGAAAATTGTGGCAAAAGGGAGCATATACCTCTAGAAATTATAAAATGGAATACTCACAAGTATGCTAATCTATGACAGAATATGGCAGGTAGTTTATAATTGCTAGCTTCCTAGTTTTTACTGGAAATCAGGGTTATAAAATATTAAGAGTTAGAGCCAATATAAGAAAATGAAACCACTAGCGATAAACCAGGGAACAGAAAAAACATTGCGTGCAAATGTGCAAGGAAAATCAGATGTGGTTTTGGTAGGAAAAAGTGTGCGGTGGTATGGACAAGTGGCCGTGAAGGGAAAAGAGGAGAAAGTTTTTCTTTGTTTAAGAAGAGGACAACAAAGGACAAAAGCTTAAATGGAAATAGAAAGTTACAGAAAGAGAAAGAAAACCTCATCTGTTCAAAATGGCAAAAAAGATATTTATAATCAGGGTTTTAACAATGAACTTAAATTATTTTTAAATGAACCTTAATATTTATTGTGTGTCAAGCAAAACAATATTGATTCTGTTCAAGTGATAAAATTTTCTTGGATTATTGTAGAAATATTTATTATTTACATTGCAAACAAAGATTTTGTGTTTTATGCCAATACCAGCCCTTCAATTACTCGGGAAAACTGAGTCTTCTTAATATTAAAAGTGCTAAGACTTAAAAAAAAAAAAGAGCAAAGGCTATTTTTTTCCAGCTCTGTAACATACTGGATTTGCCTTGAACATTTTTTATTTTCACCTTGGCTAAATAGGTAACTAAGCATCTAGCTATAGCTGTCAATTAGTGGTTGAACCTATTTACTCAAAATGTTGAAACTTTTGGCGTTTTTGACCAACTTCCCCAAATCAAATCTAAATTTCACCTCTTGACCCAGGGCTGAATTCCGAGAACTGAAGCCATAAGTCCCACCTACGCGTCAGTAATTTAGAAAGCAGGTCCCACGCACACATATGTACGCCTAAGAGGAGGGGAGACAGGAGGGAGCCTGAGGTGGCCCAGACTTCCACTCCTGACATGCACCTAGACATTCTCGGGCTTAGGTGGAAGATGAGACTATGATGGAATGTGAACAGGATGTGACTCTATCACAGAAGGAATTTTGCAGGTGAATTACCCTCCTCGCGAATATTGTATCCACCCCCTACGCCCCACCGTCCCTCCTACCCAGTCGTGGGTGCCTTTCTGTTTGTCAGATGCAGAAGGTGCACTGGCTGATGTTAGGCACCAACAGTACAGTGCTGTCAGTTCCGAGCAGTCAGGAAAGTGTTAACCTGGCCAGAACCGCACCGTGTACTTCCCCACACCTTAGGTTTCTCTTCTGCAGTACTGGTCAGGTATTTATTTTGTAGAAAGTCCTTATATCTGGGTTTGGGCCATACTTTCTCTGGGCTAGAATGAGGTTCGGGGTTTTTCTAAAACCTTCAGGGGTGAAAAATCCCCATGTTATCACATCAGGGGAATGTGACTCCTCATGACTTAACAGGTGACAGGTGACGCTAACCTGGATCACAGGTAAGAGGCTTTGGCTAGGCGTCTTTACTCTGGTGTCAAATTACCCTTTTTCTGCTTTCCCTGCTCTTTGGAGATCCAGCCCACTTTCAGGATTAGGGTGTGGGTATGGAATTAAGCTCCACCCCCCAGAAGAGAGAAGCACTGGAATGATTTAACCAGCCCCCTCCAAGAATCCAAGTTTGACTATGGGGCTCCAACGCTTAGAAACTCTTCGCAGGACAACTGGTTTGTGCGTGGCTGGCAGGGTCAGCCTTCTAGGTCTTAGGTGGCCAGCCCAGGTCTTTGTGATATTTGGAGAATGTCAAGCAGAAAGGAATTTGCCCAAAGGCATCAATGCTACAGATGGAACCTGCCTCTAGTTAGCAAATGCTGGAGGCTTTTCAAAATCCAAATCTGAGACTCCTTAGGGAAACACCCACAAAATGAACTGAAGGCCTGATTAGATTAGCTCTGCCTGAGAAGGGCTTTCTTTGAAGTGATTTATTTATTTTTTACATTTAAAAGGACAGCTATATTAGGAAAAGAAAAGGAAAGGAACTTGCATAGTCACAAGTGGGCAGGAGACCTGCCCTTTGAGTTATTTTCTTATTTTGAGTGTAAACAGTTTTATTTGGAAACAGATAGGTATACCTGTTTGCATTATAGATATAAAACTTGGTTTACACTATAAAAAATAACCAATATCCAAATTCAAGAAAGCTTGTAATCACAGAACACACTGGGGGCTGTGCAGCTACTGTTCACCAGCCTCAAGATTTTAACCAAAAAAAAAAAAAAAAGCAACGACCGAGGGGGACCATTAGAGCCCTTTGAGTTATTTTTTTAAAAATTGATTTATTTATGCATACAGAACTGAGGTACAGACAAGAAGTGTGGGGGTAAGAGGATTTACCAGAGACAGGATGGGGAGAAGAACAGGCTGACTGAAATACACTGGTGAGGG